CTGAGCCTCGGCGGCGGTGGCCCGGGGGTCCGTGGCAAGTGAGCGGACGGTGCCCACCGGGTGGCCTGGCCGGCGCTCTCCGCGCCCCCTCCCCCAGCGATCCATTACCAGCCACCCTTCTGCCCGAGCGGCGAGGGCTGGCTGGCGGCCCTGAGGAAACGGCAGCCCTGATCGCTTCTGCATGACAATTGATAGGAGGGAGGGCGCGAGGCGAGGAGGGAGGACGGCCGCGGTGTCCGTTTTCTCACCATGGTGATTAGGCATTCCGGCCGTGCGAGAAGGCAGCCGCCGAGCAGCAGCGGCGTGGAGCGAGGGCAGGGGAAGGGAGCGGGAGCGGGCGCGCGAGCGAGCCCAGGCGCCGGGCGAGCGGCGCTCCGAGCTGAGCCAAGCCAGGCCAGATGGCTCTGCAGCCATCAGGGACCGCTCCAGTCCAGTCCGGCCCCACTTTAGCTGTGCAAACATTTCTTTATCCCAACAAGACAATTAAACCCAGCAGCATGAAAAGGAGTCTCCATGACTGTGCCGGGAGTGAACAACCAGAAACAACCACACACATCAGAGCAGTTCTTGCCCCCGGGGAGAGGGGGAGGAGAAAGAGACTCCCAGAGAACCGGGAGCAGCTGAGCAAGAGTCAGGCTAGGTCTGCCAGTGAGGGCTGAGGGAACCATCCATCTGACCCTTCTTGTCTGGCGATTACCTGACCCTCTACATTGGTCATCTGCTCCAACTGCAATCCAGAGGTGGAGCTTGGTGACCTTGGAACTGTCCCATTCTCCCTAACCCAGATTAATGTCTCTGCCTGCTCTAGTCCCACAGCCCTTGGAATGTGACCCCCACCCCGGGATGTGACCCCCCCCCTCAGATGGGCTGGCCCTCCTCATCTCAGGCTGCCTTTGGCCTAGGTGAGCTCAGCTGAGTCTTGTAATGACACGTGGCTTTAGAAAGACACATCTCAGTATAAAATACCACCTCAGGGACCCGAGGATGGCTTTTCAAATAGTCAAAGAAGACAGCACAGCCAGATATCCAGGAGCTGCTGAGAACCATCGGATTTCCTGCCTACTTGAGTCTGCCTGACCACCCAGAAGGGCCAGGGAAAGAGAGCCAAGCAAAGCCACTTACAGTTAGTCCCTAGGGCCTATCCCTGGGGTGAGCCAGAAGGCTCTCCTGGGCAATTCTGAGCCCTCTCTGCCCTGGGGTGTGCATGCATGCTAACCAACTACAATTTGGGCTGAGTGGATAAACAGGCAGACTGGCCAAAGGCTGCTGTCACCCAGGCAAAAGTCTGGGTACAGGGACAGAGAACCATCAGGAGATGCACGTGACAGAAGCCAGAGGGCTGAGGGTGTAATAAATGTATGGATTGTAGCACAAGGCAGCAGACAGTACTTACCTTCCCTTTTGTTGTAAAGTTTCCTTAATGAGCAATGTTTATTTTAAAGGCCCTGAGAAACACTGATAGACACTTCATATGTAAGACACAATGTGGACTATTCGTAATTGGTCCATAAATTTTAGCATCATTTCCCTGGACAAGGAAGGAGCCTTGGGGACTGGTTCAGAGAATGACAATAAACTGGAGTTACCTCAGTTCCCTTCCTGGGGAATTGTGCATCCTCCATGAGCAGCTTCTCACAAAACACTTCTCCCATTTTCCAGGGCAAATAAGTCAGTCCTGTAGAGCAAAGGCTTCCTTGTTCCATAGAGCCCAACACCTACCTCAGAATCACCTGTGAGGCCAGGTGGATGGACAGGCAAGCAAACTGGAATCATCTACTGGAGAGAGGATACTTTACCCAGATAGCTATATTTCTGTCTTCAAAAAATGCATATTTAACCACAAAAGAAATCCTGCCTATCAGTACCCAGATTTAAGGAACCAACACGTGTGCATTACACCATGTCTGCAGGCCCCACGTTCAAAGGTGCTCACATGCAGACATATTTGCATATGGATGCAGTGTGAGCAGGGGGTGGCTGCAACAGTAAAAATTGTCAGTGTTTCCATTATAAAACTGATTTTTCAGTGACCTAAAACTCAGTCATAAAACTTCTATTCTGAGTAAGGGACTTACACACCCCATACTTACCACCCCACCCCATCCACCAACAAAGCTCTAAAGTTAATGCTTATTTAAGAGTTTTACTATCACATTTAATTAAAACATTTTTTACATTTTATGAAAAAATATTTTATTTATATGAAGAGAACTGAAAAACGAGTCAACCATATCAGAAATTAATTCTAAATTTTAATAATAAAAAACCCTAAAATAATACATGATTCATTTTGGCAATTCAGGCAAAAGCAATGTCTTATTCCTTGGCACTTTTGAACACTTTCTCTCTTCTGGCCTTCCCAATCCCCCTCACTGGCTCATCTGCCCCCCCACCCCACCCCCGAAGCTCCTTCTCCCTCTGGAAGCAGTCTTGTATATTGTCACTCGATTATCTGAGAAATATTACTTATTTCAAAATGGTTCTTAGGGAGGGCCTGAAAGGCATCTAGTGGGAATAATCAGGCCTTCTAAAGGCCCTTAAATATGTATTTACATAAAACAGACCATAAATATTCTGACACACGGTGGTATATGACAGGAGCCAAGAAAGCTGCTACTGACTTTGTCATAGTGCCTCTTCAACCCTTCCTTGCAAAAAATGTTTCTCCTGCCTTCTAAAAACTTGAAATCAAAAGCACAGATGTCGCCCAAATGCAACCCTGAGAAGGCCCCTCTACCATCTAAAGCAAGGAAAGGAAAACGGAGCACAAATCCAGGGCTACCACAGGATGACAGTCTCTTCACTTGGCACCTTTGTTTCTAGTTAAAGGTTAGTCACAAATACAACTCTGTCTAATAATGTGGGTGTGCACAAACATCCTGTGCTTCATGTCTTTGTACAAAAAAAAATACTTTTAAAGGGAAGAATATTTAAATATAAAATTTATATAATATGACAATTTGAAATAAAGAAATTTCCCCACCTTTTTGATCAGAATCTCATTAATTTCAAGGTCAGAATTCCATTTCACTTTGGGAGACAGACTCATTTAATTTTTCTCTACCCAGGCGTATTCCTGTGTGAGGGATCTATCTCCATGGGGGATAGCACCACCATACAATGCAAACCAGGCAAACAGAAGAGTTATAGCTTTGACACTCGGAGGGGAATGGATATCCACATCTATGAGTTCTGACTTGACTAACAAGCTTCTGCCTGCTCTGGGAGTCTGATGTAGGTTTGGGCTGAAAAGATAACAAAATGAAAACAAACTGGTCTGTTGGGTGAGAAGAAAGAACTCATGATCTCCAGATGCTACTTTGTGACATAGGAGTTTTGAGAGGATTTTATTTGCAACTTGTACTTGGAAGAAAAGGGGGCTGAATAGGTCACACCCTAACCAAGGGCAGTTTCAGACAGAGGTTAGATTACAGCTAGCTTTGATCATTTACCCAACATTTAACAAATAAAAAAATAAAAAAGATCAATCAATATAATGCCAATACCTGTCCAGCAGGTATATCCAAGAAGCAGAAGCAGAATACACAAGTCAACAGAAAGTGAAAAGGTGACAGAGGAGTAGAGGCTGAAGTGTGAGAGCCACGCTAGTAGTTGTGCTGTCATATACCAGGCTTCTCCCTTAAGTGGGGAGGTCTCCAGCTTACAGACACTGACATAAAAGACACACTTGCAACATATTTCAAAACCAAAGAGCGATGGATTTACAAGGCAGGTTGATTTTATGATGACTTTTATTGAAAAGGTACGCTGGGTTTAGGCAGATGCCTTTTAGTGCAGGAAAGTTAACACAGTGCCTAATTCAAGGAGACAGCCTGAGGAAGCAGTGCCGACAGGGGAGAGCGCTACAATGTCTCTATTACTCTCCTCGGCATCATAAAGAAAAGAGAAAAAAAATGGTGTTCCTGTTGGTTATAGAGAGGACAGGAGCACAAAAACAACAAAAAAAGAGAGAGAAGAGGGGAAAGCAAACCTCTGATATAGTTTTCTTAATAAAATGGAGCAAATCTTAGAACAAAGGGTTGGGTGGAAAAACACCCTCAGTTCATAAATTCTCACCAGGCTTGAAGAAAACTGCTCTGACTACCCACAGCCCAAAAGCGTCAAAACAATTATTTTCTGATTATATCAGAGTGGAAGATTGCAGGGTTCAGCACTCCTAGTCTGCAAGTTCTAAATAAAGCTTTAGTTCCAACAATGAGTTAGTATAGGTGAGTATAGCCAGAGCCCAATAAGGCACTTGGAGAATATGAAAAAAAGCCATTTCATGAGCAGAAATTAATAATAGTTGTGAGCACCAACTATGGAGCAGTCACACAAGTCAACCGTGTTTATCCTAAAAGTGAGCCTCCAGGATAAGCAGCCAGCAAACCTGTCAAATCCCAAGAGAAGTCAGCTTTCCAGCTTTGCAATTGCAAGGAAAACACAGCTGTTTGAAATGCTTTATGGTGATTGGCGACACCTTTGTCCTTCTCTGAAAAATAGCCTGATGTGGACAAGGGCTGAGAGTTGTGAAAATAAAATCACGTGGCGTCTGCTGGCTGATACAATGGAAAAGTTTAAAAAATAATACTGCGATCAGAGAAACAAAATGAGGACAGCAAGGAGAGAAGGGATGGACAAGTTTCTTCTGACCTCCCAAATTCCCCAGGAATCTATGCTCTCTAATATAAAGACCTTCACTGCAGGGTATATATGGCACCCTCCTCACTCCGCAGTCCTCCGAGAAGAAGCCAAGTGTGTTTGGGAGAGACAGGCAGTACTGAGGCCAACTTGCCTCTGGCTACCTTCAGAAAAACACTTTGTACAAGAACTACCAGTGCTTGCTGAGAGACAAGTAAATGTTAGCACTACACCGCTACCGAAAGGTAAGCAGTTGGCCCTTCATCACCAAGCATGTGCACAAAGCTGCCGACCTGTTGAACACTACTGCAAGGCAGGGCTTACTGGGGGTGAGGGAGGGCTCCAACCAAAGTACTTACATCTGTCATTCCGATCCTCTGGGCTAGATGACGCTTCTCGATCAGAAATGAGGCCAGAGACCGCAAAAATCTTCTTCCCAGTGTCATCAACCTTAAGTGAACCGGGGGAGCTAGATGGCAGCTGTGTCCCAAAGTCATATTCCTTGCCATCTGCATCTGAGAAGCGCAGGTGGGGAGACTCTGTGTCATGGCAGTTCTTAAGTCGCTTGGCTGGAGTAAAGGCTGACTGATAGCTTTCCCGGTCCTCAGTGGAAGCAAAGGGACGGAAAGCCCCCACACCACTATGATTCAGCATGCTGATTGGGGTACAATCTAGATTAGGGGGAGCAAACTGAGGGTGGAGGTGTAATAAGGAAGGGGGGAAATCACGATTGGCAAAAGTGCCTGGCACCCCACCTTGCCGATGGTACATAGAGGCGAAGGTGTAGGAGCCGTTGGTGAAGGGAATATGCACATCCTTGTCTACTGAGACAGGTACACCAAAGGGTCGTGGCTGCTGACAAGGGATGGAAGCATCCCGGCTGGCCTCGGCTGTGGATGCCAAGACCATCAGTGCTGGGGATGCCAGAGGGTTGGGAAGGTAGGATGAGTTCTCCATCTTGAAGGCTGCCCGGTGTAAGTCCATCGGAGTCTCTTTCAATGGTTGGCGTCACACAAGAAGCAGTCTTCCCTGGGAGGGCGGCCGAGTGGCACCTTGGATCAGGGTGGGGAATATTACTGGGGAATCATGCCCTTCTAAGACCTGTGGAAACAGCAAAGAGAAAAAAGAGGGGGAGGAAAGTCAGGGGGAAGAAAAAAAGGGAAATCCCAAGTGGTTGAAACACCATCCTTCTGGCTTACAGATACTTGGGCAAGAGACACCACAGGCTTTAGGAGCCAGTGGGCAGCAGCAGCAGCAGACCATTTTCATTCGGGAAAATCAATAGACAACTTACTGTGATGTACGCGTAGCTGACTTTGGTCCCTACACGTTCCGGGTGAAATGCGCCTGAGCCCAGCAAAGAAAAAAAAAATCATAAAACCTCCAAATACAATATTCCCTGAGCAAATGAGCTTTGGAAAGCCGAGTCACCCAACAGATTGGTGCGGGGGGGGGGGGGATCTATATTTTAAAGGGCTTCCACCTGCATATAGCTTTCAGGGCAGGCCTGATTTTCAGAGACCTTGTTCTACCTACCTATGCGCACATCTGCATTATCTCTTCATTTCCCTAATAACATTCTGATATGAAAATTTTTCTATATCAACACATTGAAACCAGGAACATCTGTACATAGTAGTTGGCACAAACTGTACACATGGCTAAATTACATGCATTGGTACATACATAAACATACAACTTCATGTACCATCTAATATTGTTTCCAGAAAGTGCTAGGTGAACAAACAGCAGCAACATTATTTTTTATGCACACCACTTTAATCACACAAGCTTCCTATTTCTCTTTTCTGAGAAGAAACAAAGCCTTCATCAATAAAATGCCTGGCGTCTCTGACAATATTTAAAAATATAATGGGTGTCTTTGGCATGTGCTCTCTGGAAGCATCTGTCTTCCAGGGACAGCAAAGAATGAATCAGTAATTTTAGTTACTAATGCACTCAGTCTCGTAGATTTGTAAACTGACTTGGATTTGCCACTAATATCTAAAGTGAAATGCTAAAATTTCTGAGTTACTTTGCTCTGCTTATTGGCCCAGTCTCAGCTGATGTCCAATAAAGGCCCCCAGAACAAACTGGAGTTCAGAGAGACGTTTGTTGTTTCCCTTGTAAATTTAGGTTGTATATTTTAATAACCACTAATTCAGTTTTAAAATGTATATTGAGTGGGAGGGGGTAAAAGGGCTATTGTATCAAAAATCAGGATAATATAAGGTAAATACTGGGACTTACTAGCTTCAACTATAGACACTAAATAGAAACTGAATGAAACTCAATCCAAAAATCACCATCTACTACAAATTATAACCTTTAGATTAAGAGTCAGAAATAAAAAATGATCCCCTCCCTTTAAAAGCTCACTTCCATAATGGAATATCTGTGGTATTCCCTCAAATAAACAATCCTCAGTTAAACTGCAGATGAATCCTCCTGGCTTAATGCAGTGTAAAGAGAGTATTTCCTTCTCCCATCCTGTAGCAGACGTGTCAATGGGTGTTATTAATTGGGAAGATGAGTGGACACCATCAAACTGCTTCCTCATTTGGCATCTTTCCTTATAGACATCATTGCTAAATTACCAGATTATGTATCTCACATTAACGGATTTTTCTCTCTTCCAAATTTTAAATAACTTTCCTGTCAAGTTATAGCAGTGTAGGGAATGATCTGCCAAGGACAGCCAGTTAGCTTGACAAGTCTGGGAATCCTGTTCTTGGCTGTTTTCAAGTCAGATTAATGGTCACACAACATGGATGCTCTGAAAGTGAGTCTAGGGCTGTTCCAAGGGTTCGAAGCAGCTCTTCACAACAGAAATAAATAACTACATATCTATCGACAAGCCATAGTCTCTGAGGGCAGCTGGAGAAAAGGACAAACATAATATACTGGGGACCAGGGGAAGAATCTTTCTCCCCAAAAATAACTCCCCCTAGGATTCACTTTCCATTTTTACTTCCTAGATCACCTCATTATGTTAAATGAGTTTCATAAATTAGTAATCTGGCGACAGCACCGGACACTATAACAGAACAGTGAATTACTCAAAGCTGCTTATTCATTTGAAAACTTCATTATACTGAAAATAAATCAACAATATTTTTCCAGATCACATCTCTTTTACTCCACTTTTGTGGGTGTTGGTCTCTGTGGGAGAGGAGGGGCGATTTTTTTCTCCCTCCCCCATTAACAACCTGTATAGATGAGGCTTCAGCAGACCACAGTCATTATGAAAATCTATAGTTAATACACTCCCAATGTCAAAATGTCATGGGTTTAAACACAGAACCCAAAATAAGAAAACTAACTGTCCCTCTTAATTAAAAAAATATGGATTGTAAGATAATCAGCTTGATGGAGCATTTGGGTGACTGTAAAGAACTGGGCAAAGGGAAAGTAAGTAACTGTTACTTTTCTGCCTCTATGCTGATTTTTTTTAATTTAGCACTTCGTGCAAATCCAGATTAAAATAACTCCAGCTATTGATCCGAGCAGTGGAATTGACATTAATTTTAGTTCACTTCTCACTTTGCAAAGGGATCAATAGGAAGTAATAACAGCTGACATCCCCGCTGAAAGGAGGAGAAAGAAGGGCTGAAGACAGAAATCGAAAAGCAACCAAATAAATCATCAGCTACTTTTCCACGGCATCAGACAAACTCTAAACAGATTGCAAAAAGTCTTTGTTGAATTAACTAAACAAGGAGGAGGGATCAATCCACGAAGCTAAATAAATTGTCTGGCAGGCAGTGAGGTTGGTCAGTGGGACCAACAAATATTGAGTTTTAAAAATTTCAAATTCTTGACGTGATGGGTTTGGTTCATTTCTGTACGTGTGGGAGTTTGTTCCTTAAATCACAAGCCGACCCTGGTTTAAAGTGATTACAAAAACGCCAGCTAACTGAATAATTAGTGAGATTACTAATTGCGTGGTTACACATGCCACAACCAAGACAAATGAAAAGAAGAAGCCGGCGTTTGGGACGTGAAAATGTCTAAGGCTGGGCAGATGCGCAGCGCTCTGCGCTCTCCGGAGCGAACTAGCCACTTTCGCACTGAAAAACTGAAAGCTAGACAGAAAGTCCAAGAGAGTAGGCTGTCTCCCACCCAGGCCCCGGGCCAGGGCTTCCAGACCCACACACGGATCGGCCCAGGAAAAAGCTAGGTGGCTGCTGCTGCTGTTGGGAGCCAAACCTACTTGCAAATGACTACCACAAAGCGAACTGCAAAGGGCTCTTTCCCTGAGCCGAGCTCAGGGCGCCTACCAAACTGCGACTTTGCTGGCAATTAAAACACACACACAACACTCCTCTGCTTATAACAACAGGTGACATTTTTGTGGTCTCTGAACCGTTTCCAAAAGCCAGGACTTAAAAATAATAGAACAAATTAAACGATATTTTTCCTCTGCATAAAAAAACTTTTAAAAAATTAACAGGCAACTTAAAAAGCAAAGAACAATGGGAAATGAGGCCAGGGTAGTGGCGGATTGTGAATAACGCAGGAAAGATTTTTTTTTTAAGTTCACAGACTTCTTCGTTTGAACAGAATTCCCCGCACACCAAATGCCCAGGGGGTATCTGGAAAAACCGCCCTAACAGAAATTTTATCACCATATGTGAGAACTCAGGGAGCACAAGGCTAACAGGGTTCCCCGGCTATGGCCGACGCCTGCGGTTCAGACCTGGCTGAGTATGGGTCCCACTTTTGGACCCGGACCGGACCCTGGTTGGCCCACAGGCGCGAAACCGAGAAAGACTGGCGGGTCCCGGAGAGCGGGGCCGCAGGAATCCTCACTGAGGAGCGAGTGCAGAATTAAGCCAGGAAGAGCCTCCACCCGGAAAAAACCAAAAACCAAACAAACAAAAAACAACTCTTAGGGAAAACGGGGGGACGGAGAAGTGAAGACGAAACCTACGTCAACTTGGGGCCTTCGTGGCACCGAGCCCACCACTCCTTGGCCTGACCTCTCGGCTCTCAGTTGCCTTTTGCAGAGAGTACTTTAGGTCCCCACAACCTCCGCACGAAAGAATCTGCTTTAACTTTGGCGAACCACGGCACTGGTCCGAGAAGAATCGACAAGCGCAAGCACGAGGGGCCCGGGTCCAGACCGCGCTGGGCCTCTGGGCAGGGGCTCGGAGCAGCCTACCTTCGACCAAAATCCAAGGACCTGGAGCACCTGAACAGCCCCGCCCCGCGGGTCGCCCGGGTCCCGCCGTCCCGCGCCACCGCTTCAGTGGGCAGCCGCGGGCACCTCCACTCCGCTTTCCTGCACACGCGGCTCGGCGCGCCCCGGACCCTCCGGTTCTCGGGCAGAGGGCGAGGCGTGCGGAAGGGAGGGCTCCGCTGCCGCCGCCACACCCCGCGCGTCAAGCAGAACAGGTGTGCGTTCCCGCTTGCTCCGCGCCCGGCCCCGGCCCAGTCGGTCTACGGCAGCGCGCCGCGCCCTATCCTCCACCTTCCCCCGCCTCGCCCCAGAGCGCAGCGAGCGAACTCACGCCACTTTTGCCGGGTCTCGGCGGGCCAGGAGGGAGCCAAACGGAAGACGCCCTCAGCGCTTTTCCTCGACGCTCTTTCTGTCTTTCCCCCTTTGCACCTCTTCGTTTGGCGGGGATAGCCGGGAAGACCGAAAGAGGAGGAGGCCACGCGAGGCGCGGGGCCCTTTGCCCGCTCCGTCCCCCACCCCCAAGTCCTGCTCGCTGCTTCCCCACTGCCCGCCCTTTTTCCTCTTTATTTTTCCTTTCTCTCTTCATTGCCCCTCAAGCCGAGTCCAGAGCGGAGGCGAGAGGCAAGACGTAACTGCTGGGCATCGTGGGGAGGGAGCGCTGGTGTCTTCCCTCTCAGCTGTCCCCAGGGCAGGGAGGTGGCGCAGGCGAAAGACAACAGGACACCCTGCCTCCCAGGCAGGGCTGCGCCCATCCTGTCCACCCTGGCCCTACGCACCCACCCGGACGACGCGCACCCGGCTCGGGGCCGGGGTAGAGCAGCAGCCAGGACCCTTGAAAGCAGCCGGTTCTTAAAGGGGAGCGAGAGATCATCCCCTGCCTCTGGGCAGCCGGGGACCCCGCTATCTCCAGGCTCCCCCTTGCCCTTGCCGGCCGGGGTCACTGGGGCCTCGAGCTCTCGCAGGGGTTCCTGGAATAGGGGACGACCCCGGCATCCCCTCGGATGGCCTCACCACCGTGGGCGGCCTTGCCCGAGGGGCCACAAGGAAGCTCTCCGCCCAAGTTTGTTGTGCCCTGGAAGAAAAGGCTTTCTCTCACAAAGCACAAAGGCGAAACGCCCAGGCCGAGCTCTGAAAAGCCCCGAGTTGGGGGGGCGGGGGGCGACCGGAGGCTCCAGAGCGCGGTGGCAGGGCCCGACTCCGGGCGGAGAAGGTCGCTCGGCCTCGGCTGGCCAGCGCAGCGGCAGTGGCCGCAGGACTGCAGCGACCGGAGTGCTCGCTGAAAAGTTTTGTTCTCAAGTCGGAAGGAGAGAAATTGTTATTCAGTTTAATGCAGGTCTAAGATTTTTTTTAAATGATAATAATACAAAAAGAGCAAGGTGCCTGGGTCGACACGGTCGTCCCCTCGCCTAGCTCTTTAAAACTGTTGAGAGGAACCCCCCCCCCCAATCCCGGGAGACCGCACAAGCGGGGCTGCTCTAAGGCCAGGCCGGCCCAACCCAGCGGAGCCGAGAGTTTACCGGCTGCATTTGGAATGGTCCACCTCGGTACCAGCACCTGCCCTCTTCCTGCCTGCAGATTACTCCCACTCCACCCCCTTCCATCCACACCGTTCACACCCGCTGCCCATAGGAAAAAGTAAGCTGAGCCTCCGGGGGCCTAAAGGCTCCCAAGCCTCTCCTCAGGAACCCCACCGGGCCGGCAGTGCGTCGTGCGGGGCAGCCTGGGTAGTTTCTCAAAGGATCGCCCCTTCCCTATCCCCACCGCCTCCGGCTCCCCACCGGGTACCACCCAGCCCCAGCCCCTCTGGAAATCACCGCAGGATACACGGGAGCTGGCAAGGGGGCAGGCTCGCGATCGACCCAAAGTGGGAGTGGGGCTCATTAGAAGATGCAGAAAAGAAGTCCTGTTCGCGTCTCTCGGCTGTCCCCTCACCCTCCCTACTTGTCCAATTCCCGCGCCTGGTCCCTCCCCCTTGCACCCCCCAAATAAAACACATTAAGGAAAACTCAAGACGGAAAGTTTGAGCGAGGCAGCGCATGGAGCGCGCCGGGCACCGACGCCGGGAGGCTCTGTCGCGAGGTCTGAGACGCGCCAGTGCAGGTCTCAGCCCTTGCCCCGTCGCGGGGGAGCCGCCCGAATCCTAGGAGACGGACCCAGAAAGTTAGCCGGGTTCCCTAGGAACCCAGCCGTCCTCGCACCCACCCCTCCTGTGTGGGCAGACACATCTACACCCCTTTCTGGTCTCCATACTTGCCGTGGAAATTCCTGGGGAGAACGTTCGCACTTTTCAGGGCGCGGAGAGAAGAAGGCGGAGAGTGCAGTGCATGGAAAGTCCCGGGTGCGCAGAGCCGGCGGAGGCAGCGGCGGCGGCGGCGGCGGCAGCGGCAGGCGGCTGGCCCCGGGTGTGTGCTCGCGAGCTGCCTGGGATTGCATGTACAGATCAAGAGACTCGGTTGGTCTGAGAGAAGGAGCGGTGCTGCCTCTCAGCGCTGGCTCTAATCAGTGAATGAGCCTCCACTCTCCCAGGGACTCGGAGGCGCACACACACGCGCGCGCGCACACACACATACATACACGCACACATTCTCTCACACTCACACACATACAGGCACTCTGAGCACTGAATACATTAGGGCACTAAGGGACTCTGGGAAATGGAGTCCAGACCCAGGGCACTCTTGGAGAACAGACCTGCTGGCCTTCAAGGAAGGACTCCAAAAGTCCTGGGGTCGCCAGACCCCGCGGAAACTACTGAGAGTGTTTGCTTTTGTTTACAAGTCTCCTCCTCGACCCCGCCCCTCGCCCTAGGGTTTTGGTGCTCTTCAGTCTTTCTTGAATCAAAAGTGACCAAGAGTAAATGGGAAGATCTTTAATAAGACTGATATTCAGAGATGCTGGCCCCAAATCCTGGCTCCCTCCTTAACTCTCCCTTTTTCCCCCGAAAGATCTTAACTGCTGTTTCTCTTGGAATGCTTCTCTGGATCTTTGCCTATAAGAATAAAATAACAAATGATTATACATTAAACAATAACTTTTAGAGGGAGTGGAGAGGGCCTAGTTTATCTTTCAGATTGAAAGAAAATGTTTCCATTGTTTTATTGATGTCTGTATTATAATTCTTTCTCTTCAAATCATTTAAATCATAAAGTACAGCAAGATAAGGGGAATGGATAGAAAAGTAACATTTCTGAGAGCCTTCTAGGAGCCAGGTTATGGAACTAAATGTCTTTACATGATCTTGTTTAATCCTTAGATTAATTCTGGAGATAATATTATCACTACTTTATAAAAGACGAAATGGAGGATGAAAGTATTTGGAATTTGCCCATGGGGACATGGTTAACAAATTTAGGATGGCAAGTAGTTCTACCTCTGAAAGCAAAGCACAACCAGTATATGTCCTGGTTTAAGTCATTCTTTTGTAGCTCAGTTTCTGAAGCCTCCGATTTCCCTTAGGTGGGGGAAAAAGTTTCCTCCCCCAACCCAAGGAGTACATAGTGATAATCCACCTTGCAAAGAACCACCTTACAAATGGTCTAAAATAGAATGAGACCCAAAGTTTCATTCTAAGATATTTCCTCATCCTTTTTCTTATGCTTAATATCAGAGTAACATCTAAATATCATGTGTGCTTAAGTATATGTATGTTGTTTATATTTCAGTTTTTTAATTAACAACTCTTTAAATAAATGGTTGAGTCATGTAGAGTTCTATGATTATGACTACTTCTGCCTCTGTAATTCACAGGATTAGGGTTGTTTGTTCAGGAACCTCTAAGTCTTTATCCATGTTTAGTCATTTACTCATACACTGGCATTTATTACGTTAGGCACTATTCTTTTCACTAGGAATTGTCTTTTCCTGCTGGATTTTAAACTGTATGTGGGTAAGGACTATGTTTGTTTTATTCAACCTTAACTCTTCAGTACTTAACAATGTCAATCTCTTAGATGAATAAATAAAATGAGGGTATAAAATGAACAAGCAAAATCCTGTCCCTATAGAGCTCAACAACCAGTAGAAGAGACAAAGAAAGAGTTAGAAATCAATTTGATGACTTATAATTAGGGTGACCATGTAATTTATTAGGCCTCACTAAGACAAGTTTGATCATAAAAGGGGCACTATTACTAATTATGCTGGGATGACAGGTGTGAATAGGGAGCATCCTGGGGCAAGTAGGTTGAATGGTCACCCTGGGTACCGAAGGTGTTTCATTCATTCATTTAATAAGCATTTATTGAGCATACTCATATGATGTGTTAAAAGAACCACAAGCCACTTGATTTCCTTAGAAATTGAGTATGAGGCATTGAGCATCAAGAAATAGAAAAAGCAGGCCAAATCACAAAGTCATCAAATTGATTTCTAACTCTTTCTTTGTCTCCTCTACTGGTTGTTGAGCTCTTTAGGGACAGGATTTTGCTTGTTCATTTTATAGCCTCATTTTATTTATTCATCTAAGAGATTAACATTGTTAAGTACTGAAGAGTTAAGGTAGCTAAGTGGACTTTATTCTGAGATGATGAGGTGTTTTTTAGGGTTGTGACATGGTGGAATTTCTATTTTAGAACAAGTGCTGGTTTCTGGGTGGTCAGGGCAGAGGTAAGATGAGAGACTAATTTAAAAGTCTGTTACAGGTAACTCAGTTAAATAGTAGAACCTGAATCAAGGTACTGACTGGAGCAGTTGGAATGGAAAGGAAGGGACACATTATAGTGACATTTAAAAGGTAGTAGAATCAACTAGATTTAGTTACTTTACTGTGATAGATAAAGGCAAAAGAAAGATCTTATATAAATCCTAAACATGATTTTATTTTATATAGCAAAAGATGTTGTCTGTACTTTAATGGTCATCAGTATGAAAGGTTTCTTCATAAATCCAGTGCACATTATCACAGGTAGACAATATAGGAAAGAAATCTTACGTTGATCTTCAGGCCAGAGATTTGTGTGTGTGTGTGTGTGTGTGTGTGTGTATGTGTGTGTGTGTGTGATCAAATGCAGGATTTTATATTTGCCAGGCAGGCTCCGTGCCACGGAGCAACATCCCCAGGCCTGAGCCAGACATTTTTAACCACTACCATATGCAGTGGTCTTCACTAGACTCAAATACTTAAAAATTAGAAAAAATAATCACTGTCTACAGAAACAATTTAATGAACAAAATTCTTTTTTGGCATTACTGAGGATTGAACCTAGAGCCTTCACACTGAGCTACATTCCCAGCCCTTTTAAAAACTTTACAATTTTTAGGGGCCGGGGATTTAGCTCAGTGGTTTCGCTGCTTGCTGTGCAAGCACAAGGACCCAAGTTCGATCCCCGGTACCAAAAAAAAAACTTTACAATTTTGAGATAGGGTCTCACTAAGTCATTAGATTGCCCAGGTTAGCCTGAAACTCATGGTCCTCCTGCCTCACCCTCACAGATTACTGGGATTACAGGTATCTGCCACTATGCCTGGTTTACATGAAAAAATAAAATGCAAAATCCTCACAAAATCATAGCAAAATTATATAATGCACAACTGAGTATGTAATACCTCACTAGTTCACAGGTCACATGTCCAGCAACCTCAGCTATCCAAAACACAATGAAGCAGGAAATAAGCAAAAAGACTCCCAGAATAGCCAAAATAAACATTATAAAACTCCTGCACAAAAGTTAACACATTTTACTCCTAGGAGAATTCCACAAGCCTTCACTCAGAGCAGATTTACTCTTTCTTAGGTACAATTCTAATAAGCTTGATTATTTGGCTTTCCCATTTACAGCTGATTAAGATTGTCAAATTAAAAGGGGGCAGCTATTAAAAAGAATGAGATAGACTTAGATTTACTGACATGGAAGGATGCCTATTATATACTGTCAAGTGGGAAGAAAAGCAAGTCAGAGAACAGTAGGTATAACATGATTTGATGTTTGTATATACACATGTATACACACATCGACAAAAGGCGGCCTGCAGAAATATGCTTTAAATTGTTAATAATGGTTATGCCTAGAGAATGTGAGTGTGGATGTCAGCGAGTGTGTGGGAGGGGGGACAGGAATGAAGGGAAGATTTTGACATTTTACTTCATTTCTGTTTGTTTCCAGTAAACCTATGTAAGTTTTATAATTTTAATATCCCTTACAAAGTTTTTAAGAGGAGCAAAGTGTAGTGTTAGATCAAGCACACGAACAGTAGGAAATGGTGACTAAACTGTAGAAGCAAGCATGAGAACACGAAAGCCAGAAGAGAATGGGGTTATTTGGTGTGGAGGCAAAAAGCTCTACCCATCAGGAGCTATAAAGAATGTCACAAATTACAACCCAGCATAACCATAATGCTTTCAGGGATAAGTCACCAGGAAACACATTATGCTTAGTATATTCTACTTATGAGAGCAAGCGATCATGTAAAATCTAATAAATAAAACAAAACAACAAATTCCCATCAAAATAATGATTCTGATACTTTAGGAAGTAAACTTCAGTTGTCTGAAAAATACACATTTGTCAGACACATCAGTCCCCGAGGATGAGAAGTAAAAGAGATGTTACTTTATATAAGAGCAGAAGTGATAGAGAGTAAGAAATAGTCCACAAATTCAACATTTGACATTTATTGAGTGTCTACCAAGCACTAGTCACTGAGAATACAAAGATAAATTTTAAAATAGTCCCTGGCCTAGAAGAGCTTACAGTCTAGCCCCAGAGAGGGATGAGCATTGCTAATCATGGAAATTGTGAGTAAGGGGTGGCAGAAGCACAAAAGAGGAAGGAGATAACTGCCCAGCTATTAGGAAAGCAGGCATTGACATAAGAGAGTGTTCAGAAACTAACCTTCATGTGCATCAACATGTATGCGTTAGACATGGCCATTGTATGGGATGACGCTTAAATTGGGCTTTGAAGGTTAAGAAGAGTTTACCAAAGGATAGAAAAGAGCAGAGCACTCCAGAAGAACAGCAGATGCAAAGGTGCAGAGACATGAATTTTCCTGGCACATTTTGAATAGAACATCTCAGAATTTTCCACCAGAGAGGGATGATGGTGGGTGGTAGTGTCTAAGCCATTTCAGACTTGCCACTAGCTTGAAATTTATGTCTCTTGTTTTAGTTTGAAAGATGAATGGAAGTGTTGCCTTCAACTCCACAACTATGCTGCTGTAAAACCATGTTTTAAATTATTTATCATCTCATAGGATTAGTATTTCAGAAAGATGAGCCACCTTCACGCAGTACTTTCTCATATCCTGTGTATAATACTAACTAGTCCTGGGGCACGTCTTCCTAATTTGAAAAACAAAGGCATAGAAGATACAAGGGTAGGCTGGAAAAGTAGGTTGATGGATTGTGATGGGTCTTACTTGTCTCAGTAAGGAACTTCCAATGTCCAGCTCACTCCTGTTCATATTTCAAGACTCTACTTAGGCAAGATCTCTTCCAGGAAACCACCCTACCCAGCAGCCTTGACTTCTTCTCGACCCTATTAGCAGAGCAGCCAGTGACTGATCTATCTACTTATCACA